GCAAGGCTTGTTTGTCTGTGTAAGTTTTACTTTTTCACGACCGTTTTTAGAGGTCGTTTTCAAACGTAACGATCCCCTTAGCCGACTTAAACTGGACAATCTGGTTATGCAATTGCCTTTGGGTATTGTGCGCGGTGGNGCCTACATGCCACGAAACTCCTCGTTCACTATGCCCGGGTTAAATTTGCTCGGTCCACCGGGGAGCGGCGGTTCCACGGTACCACGGAAATCTGGTCTAACACAAGGGGGGGGGGCATGCAGATCAAGCCCCACGAGTTGTTCACCACTGACGGAAGCTGTGCATAATGTGTACGGGAAACAGCATTTATCTGTCGGCTGAGACACATAGCCGTTTAATGCACCAACCCTCCCATCCGCCACCCTCTCTGCATCTCCGCTCCACCGCGCCCTCCACCAACCCCCCAACCCCCCGGACTCCGAGCATTTTCCATATGATTATTTTGCACTTATTTTCAATCAGGGTGAGAGCACCTACTACTCACTCCATTTGGAGTCCGCGCAAGTGAGACAGAGAGAGAGAAAGCGAGGGAGCTCGAGGAACCCGGAATCACTCCAATCCGTCCCCGCATGTCATCACTGAGTTCTAGTTTGTAAGTTGTACAGAGCACGTTTCATCCATTCTGAATTTTGACGTCCATTTTGTTCCCTTTTTGTATTTCCTTTTTTTCTTGTGCACAATAAATAGCCGGTCGGGTGCTAGCATGAACTGTTCCTTTTTGTATGCGTTCGATAAACAGATCTGGTTGAGAATCACATTCCAGCTGACGTGAGGGAAATTTCATAAGTGAATTGATGAATTGGTGAATACCGCAGCGGACTGGAGTGGCGGGTGGGTCGAGTTAAATAGAAATTTCGGTTATCCAATTTGGTGTGTTCCGTTTCTTTCTGATTCAACACCGTTTTGTGTCAACAATTGATTGATCTTGCTTGGTCAACCACGGTCAAGAATACCCGTTCTCCTTTTCAACCATAGGCTTTACTAATATTACTGAGCGGTTTGAAGGTGCACGATCCCCGTGATTCGGTTCGGCTAATGGTTAAGATAATATGCAACTTTTTTCTCTATAAAACTACATGTATATTAAACAATGCGATTGAACTGGTTCAGTTTGTACCAATCCACAGCCTGTTCCTCCATTCTGTGTGAGGTGAATGTCCGAAAAAAAAAAATCGGAGAAAATCAAACACACGGCACGTGTCCCAAATGAACACCGAGGTTTCGCGAATCGTGCTTAACAGTTTGACGACCAAATTGCAGCATTCTGTTGTCACCACATCCAGAGGGTTGCTTCTTGCTTTCATGAAACTATTGAATGGGACTTGGTGATCGAGAAGTGCCTTTCTGTCTCAGAGAACAAATCTCTCGTTCAATACCACCGCTTTGTCAATTTACAAGGTTCGATCACCTCTGAAACTGTGCCCTGACGTTCATATGGGAGTTGTACACAAGCTCACGGATCATGATATTTCTTTGTGGCCCCGTAAAGATGAACAAGCACTTTATGATTATTTACTTGTTTTTGGTGGTGTTTCTGGTGTTCACATGGCAGCTTGTCACGATAGCGCATAATGCCGTGTATGAGGTTTCCGTAGCAGTAGCCTTCGATCCATGCTCAGATACGTGATTTCGTTCGCTCGCCGTACCCACCAGGTTCATCATAGATGAAGACATAAAATGCACACTGAGATAGCAATACCGGTGTCGACCAAACTCGTGCAACGTCACTCTCATTTTGCAAATTGGTTTCAGTTTGCATGATTATATTTATATATTGATGGCTATAAGTAAAGTCTATTTATTTCTGACTTTATCTCCAGCATCAATGTTTTTAATTCTTTTCTATCACCGTTTGAATTTGCGTGACCTTGAGTGTCGCGATAAAATTTGTAGCAGTTCGAAAATTACAGCTACAATTTGGAAAATATTTTAGGCAACGCAGCATGGAAATTCCTTCGTTCTGACGAATAATTCCTGTTTTATTTGAGTAGTTAATAAACTGAACACACTTATTCTAAACTAATTATCTGTTTCACTCTGTCTATGGTAAATAAGCTAATTAGTGAAAATATACTAGCCTAAATAAATTAATAAATTGTATGACCACCAACTACTTACACATTATCACTACTACTGAGAAAAACTGAAAACACAATCCAAGATACATACCAGTGGACCTTCAAACTTAGACCTTGAGGTGTGCGGTTCGTTGAGCAAGCTTCTTCCAGTGTCACCATGCCCACACCGGATAAAACATTCAACCTAACTTGGCATATAATTGAAGCCGAGAGGCCATTTAATCGAGAAGCATATAGACTCGATGACTCAATTAATGACTAGTGCAAATTTTTCGTCAGTAAGAAATATCTTTTTTACTTCCTTTTCAATATATTGAATAAACGAATGTACAGTCAACTTTAAGGAAGGGGGCTGTGGCTGTACAAACAGATACAGAAATAGAGAAGACGGGCGTTGATGGAATGGTTCGACCCCGGAACTTCCGGGTCACAATTTGATGACCTAACCACTTGGTCACCACCACCCAAAGCCAAATTCACCCTACAGTCAACGGAATTTCTGCATCAAGACACAAAGCAAGAGGGAGAGAGACGATAACAACGAAGCAAGACGATAGTTTAATTTGATCGCAGCGGAAAAAAGTTGCACACAACCGTTGTGAAGAGTAGCCAGTTTGGCCGATCTTTTTATCTGCTTCCGTTTGGAAAATGAAGGCTCAATTCAAAATGCAGGTGAGTTCACCTGATATTAGGCGATTATTTAACACTGAACGGAGCAAAATTAATTACTGATTTTACTAACAGATTAAAATCACGTTGCCTGTTCAGTTGCCCATGGGTTTGTCTCAGTGGTGATCAACGAGTAGTAATTCAAGAGGCAGAGGAAGTTAATCTACTCACCTGGTGTTGCAACGAATTTTGTTTTATCTGACGAAAGAAGTAAATATGCATCGCGCTTAACGAGGTGGAGCAGAAGTTAATACTCTGAGTGCCTTGCTGTTGGTCTACTGCATATACCGATCTGGAACTCGCAAATTCTCTGGAAATGATAAGGGAGATTTTTGATAACCGCACACTTCCGAAATGTTCTCACGGAATTCATATTTTTTTCGCAGTTGAAGTTCGGTATATCTTTCACTTGAGGTTGGCCGTGAAAAACGGTTCGAACTTNTTCGAACTTATTGAATATTTTTTTCAATTTTAAGCAGTCTCTGGAGGGGCTAATTCCAAGATGGAGTTCATTGAATTACCGCTCAGCAGTTGGAATTAGACTGTGTTTGAAAATTTGCCCATTTTTAGAAACAAGAATACGTTGGTTCCCTTCAAAGTGATCGTCAGTCGTTAGGATACGGTATGAATTAGTGGAAACTGGCCAGTTCTTTTGGATAATCAAATTGGTGGACTCCATGCTAAAGCGACTGACACCGGTGTCCAAAAATAAAGAAGGGCAAATAGAATAAGGACCAGATGCAAGCACAATACTTGTATGAAGTTTGAGTCATTTTTATTAATAAATTCTAGTTATGTTTTTTTTACTGAGGCTTTGTTAGTTTACAACAGATGCACCAGCACTCGTGGTCAAAATCTAGAAGTTGTGTATTTTATTGGAATTCAACTAACAGAAACGAAGACATTACAAATACGTTGCATCTGATCTCTGGGCAATATCACATTCAGCCCTCGTAAATGCGTCTGGAAAAAACTAAGCATTGGAAGGAACAAATGTGATGAGAGTGTCTGGGTGTTGCACGAGTTTGGTCAACAATACCTGTATGTTTGTGCCAAAACTATGGCTTGTTAACAAAAAAACTTTCACAGGAACAGGTTTCGATGACTATTTTGAACTTTACTTCTAAACGCAAGCAATAGGGACGGTTGAGCAGTGAGGATCAGTTGAACTGTACCGGCAGAAACGGCGTTTTGGTTGGTTACAGCGGGGGATGAGGGACTGGGGGTAGAAGGAGTCAGACTGTGACAGACGAATCACAAACACGAGGATGGTCCGCGCCAG